GGAAGGGGAACAGACAAGTTGCTGTCCTTTTTGTTCTTCAGTCTAGTTGTGGAGGACGTTGCTTCACTGGCCCAAGTTGGCACCATCATTGCTCTCTTCCCGGGCGAGGCAGATTAGTCGCTGGCTTCTGGACGGCCGCTCATGGCGGCTGCTGGCCGCGCACGCTGGCTGCTGCCTACACACGGTAGCCCATGGCAACCCACTGCCACAGGGGCTGCAGCCCACACCGTCGCCGGCGACTCACAGCGACCCAGCTCCAGGTCGAGCTGTTGTTCAGTATCTTAGCTGTGGAGGGCAGTGTCACTGGCCCGCATGTGGGATCCGAACCGGGGCCCTACTGGCATCCCAGGCCAGCTCTTAACCAATGCGCCACTCAGCCGGCTCCAGGATTGATTTTTAAAATCTGCTGTCTGAATGTTATGCTAGTGGGCACTTGTGGCTTGGGATAAAAGTTCCAGCGACAGCATCGTGCATGAAATCCAGAAAATGCTGCTGTATCTCAAACCACCTGGCCAGAGGACCCAGAATTCCATCAGCTGACCCAGAGGTGACCCCAGGGGCAACCAGACCCTGATCCCAAGGATGCAGATGAAGAACTTTATTTTTTATAAAATACGAGTGGAAAAGAGCTGTTCTAAATTCATATATTTTGTGTATTATTTGAAATTTTAACATGTAATAAATGAATTAGATTACTTGGCTTTTACCTAGGTCCCTGAAGTTTGGCTGTCCAGATTAGCATGGACTTGACTTTGACTCTCTTCAGGGAGAAAGTGCAGTGGCCAGAAGTAAGGACAGGCCTGGAATGGAGCCTGCTGAGGCGGGTAAGGGCCAGTTCATATGGGCCCACACAAGGGCCACATTAAATATGAGCTTTGAGACATTGAGTGTTTAGGAAGATGCTAAAGGACTGAAGGGGGCCTGATGGTGGGGAGGAGGGGAGCCTGTGGGGAGGCTCTGCTGCCTCCTGGCGGGGACTTGGGGTGGAGGGCCCACACAGTGGCCAGGGCTGCAGAGAAAAGTGGGCATTTCAAAGATGCTTATGAGGTGGAGTGAGCAAGGCTTGGCAACCAACTGAGTGGGAGGAGGTGCTGGGCTACCTGAAGGTGGGGTGGTAGGCGGGGGTGGGTGTCAACTGGGGTGAAAGCAATGAGTTTACCTGGGACTCAGGGCTAACACTCAGGCCTCACCAGACAGCCCCTTCCCCTCCCCAGCCGCACTCTGGATTCCTTCTGCCCCACCCCCTTTTTCAATTCGGGTCTAGTTGCTGAGGCCTGTTTTTTCAGCTACTGGATTTTCCAGTTTTAATTCATTTGTAAATCTGCCAGGGTTCACCTCAGTTTCCCATTCCCTGCAGATATTTTCAAGTGTGTCTTTTATTTATTTAAAACAAAATTGAGTCTGTGCCTGATCATCCCAGCATCTGAGGTATTTGCGGATTTCCGTTAACCTAATTTCTGCTGGTTCCTAGTCATGGTGTCGTCTCCTTTTGTACCTGGTCATCTTTGTCTACATTCTGTTCATTGTAATTTAAATACTGTTCACACAAATAATTGAAGTCTGGGATGTAGGTTCCTTCCTACAGAGGTTTGCTTCTGCCTCACACCTGGGGTGAGGTCCACCTGTGCTGAATGTCAAGGTTCTGTGGACCACTGGGGGCCCTAAACCAGCCTTCAAGCTCACGAGGACAGGATTACTTCTGACCCCCTCACCTTAGGGCGCAGCTATTCTGCATCTCAGCTCAGTGAATCAAGGATTAGACTCCCCACCTTGGCCAACGCTTAGGTTCAACTTATGTTCATCTCGCTCCTATGAGGCCTCCAAAAAGCCAGCTGCTTGCAGTTATTTCTTCCAGAGCAAGCTCTTCACCCATGACACACTCAAGAAATACTGAATTAAATAAGGAATGGGGGTGTTCATCCTGGCAGAGGCTTAGGAAGGGCACACTCGTTGTTCCCAGTCCTCCAGGGCTGTCACATGGAGAAGGACATAGGTTTACTGAGGGCAGAGCCAGAGCCAGCCGAGACCACACAGGGAGGCAGACTGGGACTGAAAAGTGTGTGTGTGTGGGGGGCTTCCCCACTCGACATGGCAGGTCTCCTCAGACTCTGGTGGGAAATGTCATAGAGGCCATTGAAATTGCGGCTTTGGGGGCTAGAAGGGACTAGATGTCTTGGAGATGCTTACGATTTTATGGTCTCAACTATATAGTTGTCTCTCAGGGTCATATGTCCCCACAGGCGCCCCAGCCTCCTCTCATGGGCTCTGTCAACATGTGCTCAAGCTGCCAGAGTTCAAGATTTTATTTTAAAACAATAGTAAACAATTTCATTGATTTTTTCTTAAACCACCTCACACTTGGCTTGTCTTAGGCAAAAAGTAAAAAATAAGAAGGGAAGGAGAAGAAAATGTGGGGACTGACCAACCTTCCCCAGAAATAGGCCCCCGGTCCTGGCATCTGGAATGGCTTTTGGACACTGTCTTTAACAAATGAGAAAAGAAAGCACCAAAATATTGTGCTTCAGCAGCAGATTAGGAACCTCCACAAAGAAAGGGGGGGTGGGATTCGAACACAGGTCCCAAGCAGCCTGGTTCAGTCCTAGACACTTCTAAGAGTCTGGAAGCATGTCCGCTCCATGACTCCGATTCAGAGAGACTTAGAGATCGAGTCCCTTTAGGAGGGGCTGTCGTCCTCTAAGCTAGACCGTGGGGATCTGTGAACCACACCCCAGACACAGGCTCGAGGGTGACCCTGAGCAGGTTCCCAGCCTCTCAGATGGGGTCGGGAAGGACAAGGAATGTTCACAGCGCACAGAGGGAAGGGCAGGGCGGGGGCGTTGGGCACCCACTGCCCCACTCCTCTCACCCAGCTCCTGGTTCCTCTGCATTTTGTTCGCGTGGAGATGAAGACTAACTGCTCCCGGATGGCAGGACAAAAAAGAGCTGTAAACAGCTTGGGTTTATGCACCCACATGTGCAGGCTCTTTTGTCAGAAAGGGACCACTGTCTCGGGGACAGGGGACTAGAGAAAGCCCTTGTGGTGTAGGGTGGATACTGGGTAGGACACGATGATAGCAGCCGCCAGATGCGTGCTCTCTCTGAGCCCTGGCCCCCAGACAAGGAAACACTGAATGAGGCTCTGGAATGGCAATGGTGGCAGGGAGGGCACAGGGCTGCTCCCCTCTCCTGGGCCGCCAGGGCCACCTCTCAGACCCAGGGAGAGGCAGTCTGCCCCCAGGGCTCGGGGCAAAGGGCCTGGGAAGCTGAGCTGGGCCCCTCTCTACCTGGGGCAGCCACCGCAGAGCAGGCTCTTCCAGCCCCATTCCATAATCCCATCTGCCTTTGACAAAACCAAAAAATAAATAGTATTTTTCATGCCACCTGGATCTCCTGGCTCCTCGACCAGAGGTGCAAGCCCTCCTGTACCCCACACCCCACTGCCCACACCAAGGGCACTTTCTGCCCGACCCAGGGCTGGAAGCAACACAGCGAGGGTCTCTGGCCGTGTGGCCCCCTGGCAGCAGGCCCTCCAGGGTCCTGGCTGAGGGACTAGCTTGGCCCTTTGGTCCACCTTGTTCATAAAAATTAAAATAAGAAAAAAAAAGGCTCCACTTGGTGACTTGGGTCTGTAGAGGTCTCTGCTTCATCCCTGTCTGTCATTCTGTCCATCCTGCAAGGCATCATGCAGGGCACATCTGGAGGCTGGACCCAGCCACACTCACCAGTCACTGCAGTTTTGTCCCCAGCTTGCGCTGTCTGTTCCTGCAAAATCGGGGTCGGGGCATCTGATGTGAGGATGCCTGGGGTCAGATGAGGGGGCTCCTGGCATTCAGTGACCCAGTCCCTTAGCTGTCCCCTCCCTACCCAAAGTCCTATCCAAAAGGGTGAATCCCCACCCCCAGTAGCCCTAGTGACTGACACGACCCGGGCCAATTGGAGCTCCTGCCCTGACACCTGGGACCTGGGACCTAAAGCTGGTCAGTCTCTCTAGCTCGCCCATGTCACAGACGTCTCAGCTCTGGAGTCCAGGAACAGAGCCGGGAGAATGGGGCGGGGTGGGCCAGGAAGAGAGAGGCTGGATTCCAACTAATTATGGGGAGTTCCCCTTTATAGATAAGCCAGCACAAGCGGGGTTCTGTTATTATCAACAGACAACAAGGCAGTGAGTTCTCCATCGGGGAGATATGTAAGCAAAGGTAGACTAGTGATGGAGGTGATAGGAGGGATCTGAGTGCCGGGTTTGAGGGTGTGGCTACATCAATGGTGGGCCCCGAAAACTGAAGGAAGCAGGGATAATCCCCCCATTTTCTAGAGGGGCTGGCTGAGGCTCAGAGGGGAGAATGGGGCATTCTAGAGTCCCAGTTAAAATTCAGAAACCTAAACGGCGCCCACCGGTCCAGTGTGATGCGGCCCCAACCTAGTCTCATGCTCCGCCCCCTTGCTCCCTGGGCTGCCTGTCTGTTTGGTGAACTCACCGAACTTCCTCCCGCCTCAGAAACTTTGCCCACACTGTTCCCTCTGCTGAGAGCCCTCTCCTGCCAAGCCCTGATTTTACCAGGCCTGCTTTCTCCGGGTTTAGGTCTGTCTCCCTGGGCAGCAGGCCCGACCACCCCACCCCCACAGCACGTTCCTTCACAAGCTCTCATCACACAGGTAGGTGCCTTGTTCTTCGAGTCTTTCCTGACTGCTGTGGCTGTCTCACTCTGTGCCTATCCCACGCACACAGCCTGGCACAGAGAAGATGCCCATGGGAATTTTGGTAAATGAAGGCAGGAGGTGGCCAGCCAGGCGGGGCAGGGACGGTGGGGCAGGGCGGGGCCAGGCGGGGCAGGATCGCTCTGGGAGCCAGGTGGAGAGCCTGGGCCACCTGGGTCCTTTCCTCCAATAATGGGATTGCCTGTCCTATCCTCATGAATCCAGGACTTTACCCTTAAGCTCATTACGATACTTGGGACCGGATGCACTAGACAAGACATATTGCCCAGCTGCTGCGATGTGGTGCCCTGCCCTGCCCCTACCCCATGCTTCCTCTCACCAGCTCCTTGGGGAAACCTTCCAGGCTTACTCTGGAGCCTGACCTCACCTCAGCTTCCCTCTGAACCCGAGGAACCAGGCCTTCCACAGCCTACCTGGGACCCCTCCTAGGATTTAGAATACGTGGGGAGGGAGAGCTAAGGCAGGAGGCTGCAAAGCCTAGCTTGGCACCAACTTGCTGAGTAACCACACCTCGGTTTCCCCGTTTATAGGAAATTGTCAGGACTAAACAGCCTAAGGGGTGTCCACACACCGGTGCCCCGAGAATCTCAGTTGCCCAGCTCCCTGGTTCTGGGCCACAGAAGGCCAAACAGCCTGGGTTCCCAGCCCAGCTCCCCCACCACGATCTGTAAGTCATCAGTCAGGTTCCTCCTCCTCGCCTCTCTGGGCCTCAGTTGTCTCATCTGTAAAATGGGGTTCAGGGGGGATTCAATACAGCAGTACAATAAAAGTGCTTAGGCAAGTGCCTGGTTCTTGGCGAGCCCTCCAAAAATGGGGGCAGAGGCTGCCCTAAGGCTGTGCCCCACTGAGCCAGGACCCAGTGACTGCTATCCCCTTAACTCACCTGGCTTCTGCCCGGGTTACCGTGTACTCAAACCAGAGTACATTGGGAATGAGGCTCGTGTCTCGTATTAGGAAGAACTCAGAGATAGGCCTAGAGAGACAGAAACCCGGGACCATGTCAGGGCATGAGCCTGTCATCAAGCCAGACTCCCCCATCAGTGCCTGGGGCCAGCAGTCTACCCTCCCCACTGCTCAGAGTCTTTGCCTGGCCTATGACCCCAGAGCCACTGAGAGACTTAAATGTGTCACCTGAGTGACACGCAGGCAGGGACGCTGCCCCACAGGACACACAGCCCAGCAAGACTCAGGCTGCTTTCTAAGGCCCTGAAAGCCTAAGTGAGGACAGAGGATGACACCTGGGGGAGGTGGAAGCCAGGGAAGTGGGGCCTGCAGTCTTATGCCCACCAGAAGCCCGGGCACTAGGACCCTCTCAGAAAGACCGAGGTTGAAGTCAGGACTCCTAGGTCCTCCCACTGAGGGGGCAGGGACCATGATGCCTGGAAGGTGGGAGGGACAGCAACAGCTGCAGCAAACGGTTACCAGGCTGCTATCCTGGGGAACAGTGGGGTGAGGACCTCCTGGGTGAAGACGAACCAGGCGATGGCCATGAGGCTCCCGGCGATGCCCCCATAGAGCACCTGGCTCCAGGTGTGGTACAGCAGGTAGACCCTGGGCCAAGGACAGAGGGAAGTTCATGAAAGCCAGCCAGAGACAGGCTTGCACGATCCCCTATGCTCAAGTACTAGCTTCCCAGGGACCTGTGAGTGCACACAGGAAGACATACACAGATAGGTAGGAACTCCTGTGCACACAGAGCCTCAGATCTATTTCCAGAAGGAGACAGGGGGTTGGACCTCGACAGCTGCTCTCCTGACTTGAAGGAGATGGCTCAGCTGGGATTTGCCTCCCTTCTGTCCAGCCCTTGAAGTCTGCAAGGGGCTCTTCCAGGATGCTGGGAACAGAAGGTTGATGTATGGCGGTGTCTCCAGAACCTCAGGCTCAGCGGGGAGAGAGCAAGGACTGAGCTGGAAGGGGCAGCAGAACTGACCCTTTAAAATGAGAGGCCTGGCACCACTTTCCAAACCCTGGCTATAGGCTCTGGGACTCATGTCCACCGTAGGCTCCAACAGGGACCAAGAACCCAGCAAGGCCAGCGGGCAGGGTGTGGGGTCTGGGCGCTCCCTCCTTGCATACCTGCTGTAGGAGACTAGAAAGGCCACGGTGAGGAGACCCAGGGAGAGCACGTGCCTCCACAGCAAGTCCAGGAACCTGGCATTGTTTGTCTGGTGCATCCTAGAAGACAGGCCTGTCAGAGCCTCAGCCCACATCCTGGAGCTTGGCTTCCCAAACAGCCCTCGACTCCATTCACAGGCGCCCTGGATGCAGCTCCTCCCACCCCGAACAGTGGCCACACCCCAAGACTCAGGCAGGGCCCGGCCTGGGCCAATCCAGGGCCACTGCAGCTGGGACACAAGCTCACCTTAAATACAGGAAAAGGAAGGAGTAGACAGAGAAAAACCACATAAACTGGGAATGACTGGAGGGCATCCCGTACTTGGTGCCGACTGTCCTGTGGGGATCTGGGGTAGAGAGAATAGGGCATGATGGGAGGATGCAGGCCTCCCTGTAATGCCCTGCCCTGGGAGATCCCCAGACCCCTGAGGCCCGGGCCCTACCTCCACAGGGCCGCGGCTCCTGGATGACGTGTTTGATCAGCCAGTTGACCCCCTCGTTCAGTGCCAGGCCCCCAAGGAATGAGATCTGCCAAGAAGCTGTGAGATCAGCTGGGCCTCTGTGTACTTGCTGGCCACTGCCCAGCCCCAAAGACCGTGGCCTCCAACTGAACCTCCCAGCCCAACTGGTGAACAACTTGGAAGCAGCCAGGAGGCTCCACACACCAGAAGGAAAGGTAAAGCACCTGAGATGAAATGGTACAGTCCCCCTCACAGGGGTGGGGGCGCCCGGGAGCAGTGTGGAAGGGGGACAGGGATAGGGGACAGACTCACTCACCGTGTGCAGCTCCCGCTTGAAGATGATGAGAGTCACGAAACCAACAATGACGAATACAGGACTGAGGCTCAGGTAAGCAAGGAGGTGGCCAGAGAGATCACCTGGGTGCGACAGGGAGGACGGGATGAGGGCAGAGCACGGGCATCAGAAGAGGGGCCAGCCCCCTGCGAGTCAAGGAGAACCTGAGCCAGAAAGGAGGTCCCAGCAGGGCCCGGAGTGCAGGGCCAGGGAGCTGTGGACACCTCAGTCTACCAGCTGGCCACAGCCACTCAGTCACAGTCACGATGTGCCCGTGTCTGTTCCCTGAGCACTAAACTTCATAGGTCATGAGTTTTAAGCAGGTGCCCTCACAGTTCCCATTCTACAGACGAAGAAACAGTCCCACAGGGGTTGCGTGACTTGCCCAAAGTCACACAGCCAGAAAGAGGTGGGAGCTGGACTAAAATCCAAGGCTCCGGCCTGGTCCAGACACTATACCCACCACCCTGCCAAATCAGGAATTTGAACCCAGCTTGGTCTCACCTGAGAGGCCAGGCCCTGTACCAGGAGACAGCCTGGCAGGCACATGGGTGCTTCTGGAATCCAGTGCTGTGCTGAGGCTACCCCAGCCGAGCCCTGGGCCTCCAGGGAAACCTGCTATTCTCTGGCCACCGTACCGACTTGGGTCTATGGGGCAGACCACCCAAGGCCAAGAGTGGGCGGGAGACTGTTGCCCAGTATGGCTGCCCACTGCAGTAACAGCTTCTCAATGCCTCTCTATTGGCAAGAAATTGGCTACCTATTGACTACCTGCTCTTTATCCACCAACAGGCCAGGGAGAAAGGCAATATGAGGACTGCCAGCCCCTTTTGAGAGTTGAGGACACCACAGCCAAGTGATGAGAACCACTTTCCCCCTTGCTTAAGAGCAGGGCTGGTGCCAAGTCTCAAGACTACCCTCACCATTCAAGACAGGGCAGCTTTGTGGCCACTCTGGGGTCAGAGGGCATGGTTCCGTTCCTTTGCCAGCACTGGCTGGCTGCATAACCTCAGGCAAAGACTCCACCTCCATGAGTCAGCTCTCTCGCCAGTGAAATGGGGATGTTAGTACCACCTCCTACAGCTGTGTGAGCTTTAATGAGATGGGCTTGTGTGGCACCTAGTTCAGTTGCTGGCACCCTGGACACTTCCATGCTGGGGGCTCTGCTAGCCCCTGCAGAGGTTAGGAAAAGCCAGTGTGAGAAATGGCCCACACCACCAGCCTGGCCTCATGGAGGCAGCAGGGAAGGTGCCCACACAGGGCTAAGCCCAGATTCTAGGCTGAAGAGATGGGCACACATCTGGCCTCACCCACACCTATCCAGGGTAGGGCTGGCTTGGAGTTGGTCTGGGAGAACAGGCTATCCACCTAGGTTCAAGTGCTAGTAGTGCTGCCACAGGCCAGCTGGGTGACACTGGGTGAGGCCCTCCCTTTTCTGGGACTCTGTCTCCTCACCCACACAATAGCCTAGCCCTTTCCAGCCTGAGATTCTGGGTCTCTCAGCTGCCCAGCTGATGCCGAGGGCACTGGGCCGTGAGAACAGGCAGCGGTTGGTGCCCGCAAACCTTTCGCCAACTCCATGGCCTGTCACACACCTGGCACGAATCTGGGACCTTCCTGCAGATGCTGCCTCACCACTCTGCTCCAAGCCCCACATGGTGGGTAAGTCCCACCTCAGCCCAGCTCATTGGGCGGTCCTAGCCCTGCTCCCTCCCATCCCCGGCTCCAGCTCCAGGGACCGAACTCTAGTTCCCTCAATGCAGTGCTCTGTTCTACTTCTGGACCTTTGCACACACCGTTTTTCCCCCGTCTGGGAAAAACGGGATGCTGTCTGGGTTAACTCAACACAAATTAAGTACCCACCACAGTGGCAAAAAAAGACACATTCCTGGGGGAGGAGAATTGTCACTTTGAGGGGTAAAAAGTATAACTATTGCACTCTGTTGTACACGGGAAAGGAATTAAAAAAAAAAAAGACACGTTCCCACCACTGCGGAGCTTTCAGCCTGGGGGGGGGGGGGGCGTAATTCGGCATCACTCATGATACGCTTGTTAGTGTGGATACCAGGCTGTGTCTGTCTCTCCCTCTACACCCTACTCAATCCCCCAAGCCTGGTACAGCACCTGGCACTTAACTGGGCTCAAACGCAATGGTAAGCGAATGGAGAATGGGTAAAGGAAGCAAGGATCAGTGTGATGAGGGGCACGAAGAAGTGTGGGGAGCCACAGAAGAATCAGCGGAGGTTAGACCTCATGGTACGCCCCCAGGCGCAATCAGGTCCCTCCTGCGGCCACCCATAGTCCCTGCAAAGGGCCCCTCATCACAGTCTGCGTCATGCTCCTCATAACTGCCAAGTTCCCTCTTCTCACCTGTTGGACTGGGAGCACTCGGAGAAGCGACTCCAAGGCCAGGGAGGGAAGTCACGAGGGTGCTGAAGCCTTAGGCAAGTCTCTTCCCTCCTCAGGCCTTAATTTCCCTCCTATAAAGTGGCGTTTCTTCACAATCCAGGACTATGGGGACCTACTGGTCTGTTCACCGTTCTAAACCCAGAGCCAGCCCAGGGCCTAGCACTCTGGAGGCGCTCAGTGGATATTGGCTGGCTGGCTGGCTGGCTGATGGGCAGGTGGGCGAGCAGGCAGGGCCCAGCACCTGGCAGGGCCACTCCACTCCCAGTATAACCCAGAACACCCTGGGTCAAAGTTCCCTGGCAGGCAGCCCTGGGGCCCTCAGCAGGGCCAGGTTCTCACATCTCCACCCCAAAGAGCAGCACGAGCAGGTCCTTCCTGGGACAATGGGGGCTCAATGAGAGGCTCACGTGACACCCAACCATCCTACCCAGGGAAGGCAGGGTGGGCCTGAGAGAGCCCTGGGAAGGTGGGATATTCACTGCAGTTATTTATTGAATGTTTACTGTGTACCAGGCACTGCACTCAGCATTTCTCACACCCCTTGCTAGTTGATTCTCACACCACCACTAGAAAGGAGGCACTGTGATTAGTCCCACTTTAGAGATGAAGTAATTGGGGCAGACAGGTGAAGTCACTTGCACAAGGCCTAGGCCTGTACTTGAACCCACACACCTCTGACTCCGAAGGCCCCAACTCTGCACTACTCTACTAGACAGCCTCCAGAATGGTAGCTGAAGGTCTTCCCAGCTGCAAAACCCTGCGCTTCTAGGTATGTCTGATGGGAAGCTCCAGAAGTCAAGATCCTGGAAGCTGCCTGCCCCTTTATTGTGGAGCAGTACCCTGCTCAAGGGCGTGGCACACCAGAAGTACTCAAACAACAAATAGCTGCCTGGCCTGGGTTTGCACACTCCCAGCAACGGGGAGCTCTTTCTCTTACAGGCAGTCCAAAAACACTGAGGGAAACAGGCACTCCCAGCAAGCCGGGGAGGGAGTCCGGCCTCTCTGGCTCCGGGGAGGAAGGGGAAGAAGGGCCCAGGTCCAGGCCAGTGATCCTTTCCCGCCTCACACAGACCCCCTCCCCATTACAGTCCACCCAGGACCCACGGTAGCGTCCGGGCCGCGCAGCCGCAAAGTGCGCGAGCGAGCCGCTCACAATTTCTCCCAGCTCATCACCGCACCACTGCGCCTGCGCGGCGCGAGGCCGGCCGAGCCCCTCCATGGCTCACTATTTGACAGTTCCCACCCCGATCCCCCAGCGCCCCTCCGCAGGTTCATGCGGGCCCGAGCGCCCGGAACTGAGGGTCTGGCTCCGGGAAGATGTCCTCGGAGCCGGGGCCGCCTTTTACCTGCAGGATACTCGACGTGAGTGAGGGTCACCGGCCGCCATGAAGCGGGGAGCGAGCACTGTCCGTCCGCTGCCATCTTACCCGGAGACCGGGCTTCGCCGAGCAGCCAATGGGGAGCCAGGGGGGCGGTGGTTCTGACCTATCACGCCGGGGAGGCGCCGCGTATCCAATTGGAGGCCGATACAGGTAGCGGTGCAGCCATTCAGCGTTCAGGCCATGGGGCTAGCCCGATCGGCGAATCAGAGAGCGGGGCCCCTAGGAGCTTGTGAGCCGGCCCAGCCGGCGCCCAATTGAGGGCGAGTGCAGGTGGGTTACTAGCCAATCAGAGAAGAGGAGGGGTCCAGCACATAACAGAGGGCAGAACAGCCAACCAAAAGGTGAGGCTGGCTCGCAGTGTGGGAAGGGTTGACCAATCAGGCGCTAACTTAGGGGGCGTGTTGAACTTTGGTGGGAGCTTTGGTTTAGCTGGTACCTGCGTCTAGTGAAAGCTTTCCAGGTACCCAGAGCCCGGCCTGGGTCGACGAGACCTAGGCCCCCGTCAGAGTGAATGCTCGAATGAGGATGGGGGAGGGGGATGGGGATGGGGGTGGAGGTGGGGCAAACTTGGCACGACAAGGTCTGAACCCACCCACTTTTAGTTATGAATAAACTGAAGCCAAAGACCTAGAGGGGCTTAATTTTCTCTTAAGTGATGCTAAAAGTGGAAGCTTAATTGAAGTTAAGAAAAACTTCCTTCTTTCATTCAAGTAACAAAGATTTATTGATTCATGTACACTATTTAATGAGGCATCATGGGAGCATTTTAAACAAGGAGCCGGTTTTCCATCTACACCTCAGTTTTCCCAAAACACTGCTCTCAGCAGCCCTGTGTAAACAGACACACCTTCATACCCACCACCCCCTCCGTATCTTACTTCCTCGCTGATCACACCAGACTGTAACCAGTTCCTTGTCTCTCTCTCCCTGGAAGCAATGGTTCTGACTTCATGCACACCAAGATCAGCTTGTCAGATTCCTGGGTCCCACTGGGGGCTGGGGTGATCCAGTAGACCTGGGTTGGAGCCCTGGAGTCTGTATTCGTATGTGCTTTGGGGGATCTTATATAAGTGGAGAAGCCCAGAGCACCATGAAGACAATGTACTTGAGCCTGGCCCAGGCCAGACCCAGAACAAGAGCCTGATAAATGACATAAATACTTGTGAGAAGTGAAAATAAATCAGGGAATCCCATTGACCAGAATGTCTCACTCTGCAAGACTGCAGGACAGCTGGAACCAGGACTGTGGGTTCAGCTGAGAGGGCAGGGGGAGGATGGGACTCGGAGCCACCAGCAAGCCAAGAGGGCCACCCCTCCACCCCC